GCATCCTGCCATCTACAGTTCTCCGCCCCCCTTCTCCTCTGTATACCGTCATCTATAGGTCTCTGTCCCTCTTCTCCTCTGTATACCGTCATCTATAGGTCTCTGTCCCTCTTCTCCGCAGGACAGAGAAGGAGTCTCTGGAGACGACGCTATTCGATGTTCAGCAACAACTGACCACTATCACCTCCCGGAAGGAGCAGCTGGAGGCCGAGAGTCAGAGTCTGAGGCTGGCTAAGGAGGCTCTGCAAGGTATGGACACAACTAGATAATATTTAGGGATGCACCGATACCACTTTTTTACGACTGAATACGAGTACCGATACTTTTGATCAAGTACTCGCCGATACCAATTACCGATACTTTTTCTTAAAGGGACAGGTCACATTTTTTCTAAAGCAATACAAACTAATGCTTTAAGGTCACTTTCTTAATAAAATGATTCATGAGACGACGAGGGAGCATGACGCCGCCTTTCCGGCCAATCAGAATGCCGGTGCTGCATCATTACACGATATTATTATACCTCATTACCTTCTATAAGATAATAACAATTGTATATCAGGGTGGAGGAGGGGCTCTCATATGCTCCGCCTGTAATCGGCGCTCGTCTCTCCCTGCAGCGGAGATCGGCTCTGTGCGCCGGCAGATGGAGGCCGAGGTCACCAAACTGGAGCGGGACAAGGAGGCCCTCGGGCTGCAGCTGGTCCACGCAGAGAAGGAAGCTCGCGTCGCCCTGAAGAGTGAGCAGAAAGCGCACGAGGAGGACGTGGAACGCCTGCTGAGGGAGAAGGTTCTGATGTTCCCCAACCTTCTAGATCAGTCCATAGACACAGACAGAGCAGATATGGTTGTCATGTCTGTGAGAGGCAAATGTCATCACAGGCAGTCCTTGTCCCCAAACCCGTATAGCCCACCATCAGCCCAAACTGGTTCTGAATAAAAGCTCTGCGATGCCCCCAATGGGGAGATCTGCTCTCACTTCCTGTCCTGGTGACCCCACAGGAAGACACACCCAGTAAGGGTAGTGCAGTAAGAGTGATCCCTGCCACTTTATACACAGCAAATAACATTGGGCTTCAATGGGTACAACCAATATAACCCAAACCTGCTGGGAGTGATTGTCTGCGGGGGTGCATTGCTGGGACTTGTAGTGTCACCACATTTACTGATCCTAGTGTCTGCGATGTAAAATGAGGCCGGCCTGTCCCCGGTACTTCTGTGATGTGCGATGTATTGCAGGAAGCGCAGCTTCTGGATCTGGAGTCCGATAAAGAACAGCTGGTGCACCGCCTGACGCAGGAGCGGGAAGAGTTGCTGGCGAGATACGAGATGGAGCGCGAGGAGATGAGCGAGGAGATAGCGGCCCTGCAGCAGGAGCGGGATGACAGCCTGTTACAGGCCGAGAATGAGAAGCAACAGGTGAGTGGAGCCCGAACCCCCACCGAATCATGCGGATCATTCCGCCAGATGGTCTCCAGACTGACACCCACCCGTCATGGCATAGCTCCTCCTACTGCTTGCATCAGGGCTGAAGGCTCTTGAGAAGAGTGCTGAGGCAGAGCGCTGTGATGTTTTCAAGATGGTTTGGTGTAATTTGCGCTCCGCTCTCTCCCGCAGGCCCTCTCCCTGAAGGAGTCAGAAAAGGCGTCTCTGAGCGAGAAACTGAACAACGCACAGCACACCCTAAACGCACTCAGCCTGGAGATGGAGCGCCAGAAACGGGAACAGCAGAGCAGACAGGAGCAGGACCGGGTGAGGCTCCGTATTGTTGGGGGGAGGGGTACAGTGTGCGCTCAATGGCAGCCCATAGAACATAGTACACAACGCCCGGCTGAGCTGGAGGTGATCCGGACTCGCACCACATCCAGCGTCATGGCGCTTGTATTGATGACAGTGGAGCTGTGCGTCTTCTCTAGATGTCCCCCATTTGTTTTATGTACAGAGCGTCATCATCAATCTGACCTCCGAGCTGAAGGGTCTGCGGGAGCAGTTCGAGGAATCGCTGGCGTCCCATGAGAGGGAGCTGAAGAGCCTCCACGAGCAGATCCGAGAGACGGGGAAACAACGCGACGCGGCAGTGCGCGAGGTGAGTCCCAGAGAACCATCACAGTCCTTCCTTATATAAGGCGTCGGATCCAGTTGAGGTCGGACCGGGACGGATCATTCTGCGTTCTCTCTCAAGGTGGAGGAACTGAAGACTCAGCTCTGCGTGGTGGAGGACGGCCGGGACGCCCTGCGGCGCGAGCTGATCGAGGCGCACCGGCGCGTGCGAGAGAGTCACGAGGCGGCGGAGGTGCACAAGAAGGAGGTCCAGGACCTGCGCCGGTCTCTCAGCGACGAGTCCAAAGAGAAGGAGGCGGTTCAGAGATCCAACGAGGAGCTGCGCGGGGCGGTACGCCGGGCGGAGAGCGAACGCATTAGGTGCGTCTTTGAACGTTGGTTATATGGGGGATGCCAATAGGTCCCCCGTAATGATCTCACCACTTGATCCCGCCTCCTGGGGGCTGATCTATTAAGCTCGACAGTGCTGACCATACCGCTTGCATTCCATTGACAGTCTGAAACGGGCCAATGAAGAGAAGGAGCAGAGGCTCTCGGTTCTGGAGGAGGCCAGAACCGCCACCGAGAAGGAGGTGGCCGACCTGCGCGGTAACCTGCGAGAGGTGGAGAGGTCGCGCCTGGAGGCACGGAGAGAACTGCAGGATCTGCGGCGGCAGGTGAGGGTTTGCGGGCCCCGAGGAGCGTTCCCGACCTGAGTGCGCCGTGTTGGCTGCCTGCGGAGAGGCCCATAACCATGGCACGGCACCAGGACCGGGAGCCGCCTCATTACCAGGTCCATTGTGTGTCTGACATCTGCTCTGATTCGCAGCTGAAGGTTGCGGACGACGAGAGCACAAAGCGCAGCCGCGACATGGCGGAAGTGCAGGCGCGACTCTCTTTGTGCGAGCAGCGAGAGGAAGAAGCGCGCAAAGACAACTTTTCCGTGAAGCAGAAGCTGGTGGAGACGGAAAGCGGCCGGGAAGCCGCCAGGAAGGAGGTAAGAGCAAGCAGGCGCGGGAGGGGAATGTGTCGGACAGGAAGTCGTAATCCCGCCACTGACATCACTTCCTCCCGTGTCCTTTTTCCACAGCTCGGCGCTCTGCAGAGGAAACTGTCCGAGGTGGAAGGTGACTTCGGCCTGCGAGAGAAGGAACTGCAGGGCAGCTTGGAGGAGGCTCGCGGCAACGAGAAGAAGCTTCTGGACAACACCCGCAATCTGGAGATTAAAGCCTTGACGTCGCAGGAGGAGGCGGCCCAGCTGAGCCTGAAGCTGAGCGCCAGCGAGGGGCGGGTCCATGGGCTGGAGGCGGAGCTGGCGCGTCTCGAGGGGCTGAAGAGGGAGACGGAATTCAAGCTTAGCAGCCTGCACTCCGCTCTGAGGAGGACTCTGGGAATAGGCCGAGCGGGACGCACTCCGAGCCCGGCCATTAGGGGGCGCAGCGGCTCACCCCGGAGGGTGTTCTCCCCTCCGAAGGGTAGGTGGGCATCATGGAAGATCGGCACCTCCAGGCCGGCGCCGGTCGTTTATTTTATTCTCGTCTCCTCTTCGTACAGGATTCGACAATACCTACACAACGACTACCGATGGGCGAGGAAGCCCCATCCCTCGTACAGGCAGCCCGGAGCGCAGCCGGACCCCGGATCGCTCATCCTCTCCTACCCGAGGGGAGCAACTGTCAGCCGACATCGACCCCGAGGTCATCCGCACCGCCCTGCGGGACTTCCTGCAGGAACTCAGGGACACTCAGAGAGACAGGGTAAGGATGGGACAGGTTGGGGCGTCCGGGGAGGTGTAAGGACTGCTCACTTAAGTCACATTGTGTGTCCAGGAGATGTGACAGGGGCACCACCAGGACAGTGGGGAGCATTACACCTACCAGACTCAAATATCCTGCCTGGTGGTGTCAGTGTAACCCTGATCACTGGGGGGAGGGGGGACTGAGGAAATGCTTCCTCCTGCCTGCAGCAGACTGATGACTGGGGGAGGGGAGACTGAGAGGAAATGCTTTCTCCTACCTGCATCAGACTGATCACTGGGGGGAGGGGAGACAGAGGAAATGCTTCCTCCTGCCTGCAGCAGACTGATGACTGGGGGAGAGGAGACTGGGGAAATGCTTCCTCCTGCCTGCAGCAGACTGATCACCGGGGGGAGGGGAGACTGAGGAAATGCTTCCTCCTGCCTGCAGCAGACTGATCACTGGGGGAGGGGAGACTGAGGAAAAGCTTCCTACTGCAGGAACTCAGGGACACTCAGAGAGACAGGGTAAGGATGGGACAGGTTGGGGCGTCCGGGGAGGTGTAAGGACTGCTCACTTAAGTCACATTGTGTGTCCAGGAGATGTGACAGGGGCACCACCAGGACAGTGGGGAGCATTACACCTACCAGACTCAAATATCCTGCCTGGTGGTGTCAGTGTAACCCTGATCACTGGGGGGAGGGGGGACTGAGGAAATGCTTCCTCCTGCCTGCAGCAGACTGATGACTGGGGGAGGGGAGACTGAGAGGAAATGCTTTCTCCTGCCTGCAGCAGACTGATCACTGGGGGGAGGGGAGACTGAGGAAATGCTTCCTCTTGCTGGCAGAAGCTGATCACCGGGGGGAGGGGAGACTGAGGAAATGCCTCCTCCTGCCTGCAGCAGACTGATGACTGGGGGAGGGGAGAGTGAGGCTCTGCTCCTGCATGTACACCTATAAACACATTGAATCCCCTCCATAGGATGACCTGCGGACTCAGCTGGGAACGGCGACTCGGCAGCTGGTGGAGATGGAGGCGGAGCGGGACGGGGCCACCACACGCATCCAGCAGCTGCAGAAGGTTCTGTCAGAGATGGAGGAGGGTGAGGAGGACGTGTGTGGAAGGATGGACGGAAAGGAAGGTCGGGGCTCTGACAAGCTGACGTGTTAGTTCTCTTCCTGGCCAGGGAAGCGCGGCATGGACGGGAAGCTCAGCAATGCGCAGACCACACTCATCCTGCAGGAAGAGAATCTGAGACGCTGCGAGAGGGAGCGCAAGATGGCGCTGGAGAAAGCCGCCAGCCTGGAGCGCAGCCTGCAGGCGAGTCCGTGGATTCTATGGAGTGAAGTGAAACGGGACAGAATTCCCCATGTGGGTGCACGGGACCCTTGATATGTATAAGGTGTACCTGTCACCATAAGTGCAGAAGCTGTTTCGGGTGACCCTAGTGGAAGCCTTACCCTCAGGAACCTCTGTGCTGCTCCCGTGCTGCCCCTGTGCTGCTCCCGTGCTGCCCCTGTGCTGCTCCCGTGCTGCCCCTGTGCTGCTCCCGTGCTGCCCCTGTGCTGCTCCCGTGCTGCCCCTGTGCTGCTCCCGTGCTGCCCCTGTGCTGCTCCCGTGCTGCCCCTGTGCTGCTCCCGTGCTGCCCCTGTGCTGCTCCCGTGCTGCCCCTGTGCTGCTCCCGTGCTGCCCCTGTGCTGCTCCCGTGCTGCCCCTGTGCTGCTCCCGTGCTGCCCCTGTGCTGCTCCCGTGCTGCCCCTGTGCTGCTCCCGTGCTGCCCCTGTGCTGCTCCCGTGCTGCCCCTGTGCTGCTCCCGTGCTGCCCCTGTGCTGCTCCCGTGCTGCCCCTGTGCTGCTCCCGTGCTGCCCCTGTGCTGCTCCCGTGCTGCCCCTGTGCTGCTCCCGTGCTGCCCCTGTGCTGCTCCCGTGCTGCCCCTGTGCTGCTCCCGTGCTGCCCCTGTGCTGCTCCCGTGCTGCCCCTGTGCTGCTCCCGTGCTGCCCCTGTGCTGCTCCCGTGCTGCCCCTGTGCTGCTCCCGTGCTGCCCCTGTGCTGCTCCCGTGCTGCCCCTGTGCTGCTCCCGTGCTGCCCCTGTGCTGCTCCCGTGCTGCCCCTGTGCTGCTCCCGTGCTGCCCCCGTCCTGCTCCCGTGCTGCCCCCGTTCTGCTCCCGTGCTGCTCCCGTTCTGCTCCCGTTCTGCTCCCGTTCTGCTCCCGTGCTGCTCCCGTTCTGCCCCCGTGCTGCCCCTCCCATCTTTCTTCTCTCTTCAGGACAAACTCAATAAAATGAAAGGTAACGAGGCCAGGCTGGACGGCGACAAGCGGCGTCTGAAGGAAGTGCTGGACGCTGCCGAGAACCGGAACACAAAGCTGGAGCTTTCCCGGCGCGCGCTGGAGGGGGAGCTGCAGAGGGTGAAACTGGTGCTGGGGGACCGAGAGGCCGAGATGCAGGAAATGCAGCAGCGGGTGGAAGGGCTACAGAGACAGGTGAGTGCAGACTGGGGGCCCTCTGTATAACCCACCATGTGTATGTATATCTAGGGGCCCCTACCCCCATCAGCAGTAGCTGCCCCACATGCAGCGTGACCGGGAAGTTGTAGACTTTGCGCAGGCTTTGAATGCTTTTCATTTGGAAGAGACGCACATCTTAGGCCCAGTCAGGGGATGTTTTAAATTGGCGCAATGCCCCTACTGGACACTAGGGGGAGTTCATACCAGAAGCCGGGACCTGATAGGGAATGTGGCCCCTTATTGTTCCCGATATTACTGTGTGTTGTCAGAAATTCACTCCCAGGATTGTATGTCACATTACCTTTGCGGGAGCTCTCCTCTCCTCAGGTCTAACCCCCTTTTTTGTTGGGTCTCCAGTTGGCGGACAGCGAGGGGAAAGTGAGCACCCTGCAGCTCTGCGTAGACCGTCTCAATGCCACCCTGGGGAAGGTTCAGGACAACGAGTCCTCCCTAAAGGAGAAGGTCCAGAGTCTGTCCAGCACTCTCTCTGAATGTAACTCCACCTCCAGCTCCTCCCACGAGAAGATCGGGCAGCTGCAAAAGCTGCTGACCTCCAGCGAGCACGATCGGCGGATCCTGCAGGTCAGTGTGGTTTCTGGGTTCTGACCTGCGCGTCCTCCGAGGTCTCTGGCCAGCTGGAGACCATTTCCTCCCCTCCCCACCCTGGCCACCGCTATGAGTTCGCCTCTTACCTGGTGATCAGTTCTGAGCCATTCTTGGCGCTTCTTTCACACAGGAACGTCTGGAAGCTGCGCGCTTGGCGGTGGCGGACGGCAAGAAGCAGAGCGCGGGGCTCCTGGAGCAGGTTCAGGAGCTGCGGGACGAGGTGGCCGAAGGAGAACTACAACGGATGGAGCTGGAGGGACAAGTGCGGCAGCTGCAGGAGGTCAGTGGTCCTCTTATGGAAAGTGTCTGGAGGAGCAACTGTGTCATCAGATAGCCAATCAGGAGCAGTTATTGATCATCTGATTGGTTGCTGATGTGATTCTCCTTTAAGAGATATGAAATCCTGTTTGGTGACGGGTATGAGGGCCTCACCTCCCTTCTCTCACCACCCCCCAGCTCCTGCGGCAGCGTCAGGAGAGCGAAGGAACCTCGCTGCGGAGCCTCCAGAAGCTGCAAGAGGAGAGGGAGGTGCTCCAGGAACGCCTGGGCGGGATGCAGCGCACACTGGCGCAGTTAGAGGCGGAGAAACGAGAGGTGGAACGCTCATCCCTGAGACTGGAGAAGGACAAGAGCGCCCTGAGGAAGACCCTGGACAAGGTGAGGGGACACAGAGGTGCGTGCGTGCGTCCGTCCGCCGGCCTCAGGGGAGGATTGAGTGGTAGGGACGTTGGACAACCATTGGAGAGATGTCTCCCTTCTGATAGGTGGAGCGCGAGAAGCTGAAGACGGCGGAGGACACGCTGCGGCTGTCTGCAGAGAAGGGGCGCTTGGACCGCTCACTGACCACCGTGGAACAGGAGTTGGCGGACGCGCAGAGACAGGTCCATCTGCTGGAGGTGAGAGAAGGGTCCTAGAGGGACCTCCGTGGTCACCATCTCAACCCCCCTGTGTAGGTGATAGAATGACGGGGGGTGCCGCTGAGATCTGTCTTCCTATTGGTTGGTTCATGGCGTTCTTTCTCCCCTTCCCCCGCTGTCCCATGAAGACGCAATTAAACAGGGTTAGGCGCAAGATCACGTTCAGTCTGGTGAGTGCAACCCCGTAATGTGGAAGACTGGGTGCTAAGGAGTGTCCTGCCAGAGTACCCCGGCTTCCCAGATAGTGGTACCCCATTAAAAAAAAATCTCTTGTAGCTCGCCCTGCATGCAGCCCTCCAGCTTCTCCTGCAGACTCATGTTAGTGATCTCTTTGCAGTGTGATACTTCTGAGTCTCCTGGTTACCGCGCTGTCTTCCAGCATCCTCCTCCTCCTCCTCCTCGTCTAGATTAGCGGGATTCCGGCCACTTGCTGCATGCGTCCCCATAACCGTCTCTCCTTCCTCTCCAGGCTCAGATCGCAGACATGGAGCAGACGCAGTCTCAGAGTCTGATGGAGACGGCGGCGCGGCACCGCCAGGAGCTGCAGATGGAGATCGAGAGGCTGCGGAACGCGCAGACTCAGGCGGAGCGCACTCTGGACGCCAGGGAGCGGGCACACCGCCAGCGGATCAAAGGCCTGGAGGAGCAGGTGGGTCCGTGGCACCGGTCAGTGAGGATGGCCTGCAGCAGTGGGTCCTTCCTACTGACACAGGGGAGGAGTCATCCCTTACAGGGGAGGAGTCATACACAATGTCTGCTATTACCTTGGTTAGCTAGAAAGCCCTCCTGTGTGGCCCTCTGAAACTAGTTTCCCTTTATTCAGGGAGGGCCTGACACAGGGGCGTCCCGAGGCTGGGTGACACCGGAAGCGGTAACCGAGTGTCACCCCGCCGAGACGTCATCGCGCACGCGCAGCAGTATGCTGTTACCTGCCGCCGACCATCTTGGTGATGGACGCCGGCAGAGAGAGGAGGGGACAGTCACCCCGGCGGGATGAGGTATGTCCCCGGGACCCCTCCTCTCTCCTGATACTGTCGGGCGTTCAGTCCATGACCGAGCGCCCGACTTTTCAGAGGGGGCTGACACCAAAATGACTGTGAGCCATTTTGGTGTCACCCCTCCAATGGTGGCACCCGGGTGCCGGCCGCACCCCCCCTTGTGACGCCACTGGCCTGACATCAGGACTTAACACCACCAGTGCCCCAAACCTGCCCTTCCCCCCGGTCTAATGACAAAAGATGTTACTGGCCATTGAGAAGCTCTTATTGGATGGGTAATGGCAGGTTGTAGGGTTCAGCCAACCAGGGACTGAGCCCCACCATTCTCCTATCCTGAATGGCCAATAGGGAGTCATTAGATGGGAGTGACAGCTGGGGGGAGCCATGAAGTCAGGCCTTTGGCTAGAATTTGAAGCCAGCTTCAGAGGGGCACATGGAGATCCCTCGAGGTTCACCATACAGGCTGAGCTACCGGACTCCGGTCCTTCTACAGAACACCTCACCCCCCCCAACTATACCAACTTACTGGAGATTATCGCAACAAAGAAACAAGAATGTTTCCTCCCCTCCAGTGTTCTGATTGGTTGTCATTTCCCTCCCGCAGATCTCCACCCTGAAGGAACAACTCCAACAAGAACTGCGCCGGTGCCAGTCCCACTACACGGCGCCGGTACTCCTCTCAGGGAAATAACAGAACAGGTAC